ACTAATAAGAAGGGCCAATCCGGGGTGGTATCAGAGGCAAGACATGAATCCCATACCTGTTGTGAAACCAAACATGCGTGCCCCAAAGGGCCACATTCTGTTCTTGGTTTCATGAGTGTAAATGCAAAATAACTGCACAGAGTTTAGAAGGGTAATTTAGCAAAGTGTGAGTCAGTACTGACAGCAACAGAGTGTCAATCAGCCCTGATAACAGCAACACAACCCACAAACCAGCTCTATCAATCCACTGTAAAATCTCTGCTCATACAGAAAAAAAGAATGGAAAAGAAAAGAAATAACAAATCCCATACATATACCTTATTTTTAAATCTGGGCTCACAGAAGCTTCTGCTCTGATTAAAACTGACTAGACTCAAGAATCCAGGGTGCTGAAAGCTATGGAAACTGTTAGAAACGACATCCCCCATAAGCAACACAGCCCTTCTTCAAATGACTTAGAGGCTGATGGATTTTAAGGCCTAATTTGAAGTGTATTTCAAAGCATAAATTCTGTGTGGCTTTTAAGCTCGCCTAAGTCTCCCGCTATGATCTGGAAGTCTTCACAGCTTTCAGAAGTTTTCTGTTTCATTTTTAAAAGGCTTTGCACTTCACCTTTAAACTAGTTCACATAGTTCGTGCTGCATGGACATGTAAAAAGATACCCATCCTCTTTGATTGATGAGTTTCTTCAGTACATCAGCAGAGATTAAAGTGCATTGCTAAGCCTCCCCTTTTAACTTGGCATAATTCATTTTCACATCATATCAGCCTTCTCCAGGGCTGGATATTTACATATTAATATATTTTTTTTATTCCCCCTCTCCCACCCCATCTTCAAATATTAAAAAGTGCGGATAGATAAGATTCTGCACTTAAATTAGGAGCAGCAGTAGCAGGGAAGTACATATCAAACCATTCAATTAAAATACAAAGACAGCTCTGTTTACTGTCTTCCCTTACCATGAAAGCGCCTGCCCTGCTTCCCCTTCCCCACACCAATCTCCTTGCTCTGATTCTGTGGGGGTGAGAGCGTGTCTGGTTGCTTTCCCTAAAAGCAATGAAGTACTTTGGAAACGTGTTTGAATGTAGTGACAAGCTCTCTCTCCTGATGATTTGGAATCTATATGATCGATGAGTGGGATTAGAACAGGTAGGCAAAGCAGTCAGATATGGGTAAGCTAGTTGAATTATCAGTAAATCCAGTCAATAAGATGAAGTGAGAGGTGAATTAAAAGGCTGGATGTACAACTTCAGTTCTTTTCCAACTGATTTACATGGGAAATTGCAATTCATCTCTTTACAGAGGTGATCCAGCTCTTGCTGACATACGTGAGTGACAGGTTTAGACTGACAGTAGGACTGGGATCAGGTTCACAGGGCACATCTACACGTGCACGTTGCTGCAGAGTTGCCTAATTAGTTCCTCAGTAAAGCACACAGACACTGCCAGGCACAAGTACTATTCTACAGCAGAGTTAATTACACCACTGCAATGCATGTGTAGACAAAGACTGGCCAGCTGGGGTGTGAGGGGAGGGTGTTATAGTGCGGGAGCTGACTGCTGGCTAGCCCTGCACTGTAGCACCCTCAAGCCCCTGTCAGCCCCTCCACAGCACTTTGACCCAGACCCCCAACAGCTGGGGCTGCGCTGCCCTAGCTCAGCATGCTGCAGTCCCAGGCACACATGAAGGTGTTGAGCCCAGGAGCAATAAACTGTGGTGTGAGCTGCACCAGAGTTGATTCAGGAGCATTAACAGAATGTATAGATGCACCCACAGTGTCTGAAAACAGTAACAGAAAAATCGTTTTATCTTTCCTTCCTTATTACATGGCACCCATTGCCAGATCTCCTGATTTTATCCTAAGTCTTGCAACATTTGAAGTTGTTCTGAAAGCCCCAGCACCTGGAGTCATGTGACTTTTGAAGCCATCATGGTTGCAGAGTAGAACTTGAAACTGTATATAAGGACACCCAAAACACTCAGAAAGTAGCAGTCAGAGAAAAAGGACCCAAAAGTAATAAAAGAGAAAAAAAATCTCACATGCACACACGGAATCTCATGATTTTGAGTCAACCCCTCACTTTTGAAAGCTTGGGCTCAGTTTAACACAGTGTTTCCCAACTTTTGAATTTGAGACACCCTCTACTGGACTTGAGGCATCCCTCATTGGACTCAAGACATTCCTCCATAACTTTAGTGAATTATGTGGCACCCAAAAATATAAAATAATTATATATTAAATACTGTAGCGCTTACCTCCTTACACAGGAGCTGGGCAGAAGGGATGGGGGATCATCCAGGCAAGGATAAGACTGAGCCTGGCTTATCTGCTTAACTTATCTGCTTATCTCCTCACATGTCATTTATCCCCTCACACCTCATAGCACGCTTAAAAAAATCTAGAGGCACCCCAGGGTGCCCTGGCACCCTGATAGAGAATTACAGGTTTAGCAGCATGAGTTTCCCCTAACTGTAGAAGTCGGCCTGCAGCTATTTCAACAAACTGACAAGTCCCTGGGCATTTTGACAAAAAACCTCAAACATATGTTGACAGCAGCAGCACTGACAAGGCTGTGCCCTGAAGGAGTAGTATGCTGGAGGGATGTCAACTGTCTGGAATAGCTGCATCAGTTTTCCTTGCCGTCTGACACACCACAAAGCTGTCTGACAGAGCCACAAAGGCTCTACCAACGGCTGTGGCTGCAGCAGTGCGGTCTGGGACTTCCGACTCCTGTAATGTGCAGATGCAATGAACTACAGTGTGGGTTGGCAGCAGCTGGAGAAGACTATCCGGCTACTTGTGGAGAAACCCTGATAAAATAATCTCCATTCCAGCTGCTTGGAACTAAGTCTCATAGTACTCACACCCCAGATAGCCTTTCAGGGCTTTTGCAAAACAGAACAAATGTTATAAGCACAGACCATAGCTTGGCTATCAGGCCTTCTAAACAGTGTATATAGAGCCTAAGGAAGGGACATAGAAACTCTTGTTCCTTCCAGACCTATCTCTTATAGGCTCGGCAGTGCTATGTTGGCTAGCACTATGGAAGAAAGAGACTTGGGGGTCATCATTGACCACAAGATGAACATGAGCCTGCAATGCGATGCGGCGGCTAGTAAAGCGACCAAAACGCTGGCTTGCATCCATAGATGCTTCTCAAGCAAATCCCGGGACGTCATTCTCCCCCTGTACTCGGCCTTAGTGAGGCCACAGCTGGAGTACTGTGTCCAGTTTTGGGCTCCACAATTCAAAAAGGATGTGGAGAAGCTTGAGAGAGTGCAGAGAAGAGCCACGCGCATGATCAGAGGTCAGGGAAACAGACCCTACGATGACAGGCTGAGAGCCCTGGGGCTCTTTAGCCTGAAAAAGCGCAGGCTCAGGGGTGATCTGATGGCCACCTACAAGTTTATCAGGGGTGACCACCAGCATCTGGGGGAACGTTTGTTCACCAGAGCGCCCCAAGGGATGACGAGGTCGAATGGTCACAAACTACTTCAAGATCGTTTCAGGCTGGACATAAGGAAGAACTTCTTTACTGTCCGAGCCCCCAAGGTCTGGAACAGCCTGCCACCGGAGGTGGTTCAAGCGCCTTCATTGAACACCTTCAAGATGAAACTGGATGCTTATCTTGCTGGGATCCTATGACCCCAGCTGACTTCCTGCCCTTTGGGCGGGGGGCTGGACTCGATGATCTTCCGAGGTCCCTTCCAGCCCTGATATCTATGAAATCTATGAAATCTATGAATCTCAGTCTTGCCAAATACGGACATTCAAAATCATGAGCTGGGATCCCAAAAACCATAAGACTGCTTTAAAAAAAAAACAAACCAAAATACGATATTTATTGGCCTGGTGATGTCAATGCCTTTAAGGTGCACTACAGTCATGGTCTCATGTTTTTCTCCACATTTCCATGTGCTAGAAGCTTAATGTCAGCAAAATTAATAAGAATAACTGTCTCTTGTCTGGCACGTTTCATGTCATTATCCTCCTTTCACAGAGGAGCAAAGTGAACTACTCATTGTCACTCAGCAGGCCAGTGGCTGAGCTGGGGATAGAACCAGTTCATCAAAATCCCAGCCTGCTGTCCTATCCTCTGAACCAGTGGTGCCAACCTTTTTGGCAGACATGCCACAAATTAGTCACACACCCTCCCCAAATGTCATTCTGATACTCATCTGCTGCTCAGCTTTCTGCTTCCTGCCCTGTGCTCCCTACCTGATCTAATGCTCTGCTTTCTGCTTCCTGCTCTATCTGTCACTGTGATGCCTGTACCTCTCCCCAACCTGCTGCATGCCACACATACAAGCTTCCCATACTACTTGTGGTACCTATACACCACGTTGGACACCCTTGTAAAACCACACTGACAAAATAAATTGTACATAATAGCATGACATGAGAAGCTGGGGATTAAAATTAAACATCAAATATTCTGATATATGTTTCAAAATTAAACATCTAAAACAATTTAGAGGAGCTGGCAACAGTAAAGCTGCCCCAAAGGTGACCCTGCAGTTTTGACTCGGGCAAAACACCTACTGAAGATAACAGAAGCTTTTTTTGCATAAGCACTACAGGCTTGAGTCCTAAATTGGTCCAAGTAGAAAGGAATGTTGTCAGAAGTCCCAAAGTTTTAAGTTGGGCATCTGGCCTAGAGGTGGAGAATGGAGATAAGTATACAATCTCCATGGCAAAAGGAAAGATAAGGAGGTGTCAGAGACTAGATAATTAAAAAGCATTGAAAATTAACAATTACCACCACCAGTACTCAGCTTCTTTCATTGTTAATTGTACATACTTCAGAGAAGGAAAAAAAAATCCCCTTTCTTCCCCCAACATCCCAAAAAGTTGCATTTAAAAAAGCTTTAGACAAAGAGTTTTTATCTAGGCATCTCAGTGATTTGATACTGTTATGCATATCCTAATATCACAAGAATATGTTTTACCTTGAGGAAAATGTTTTAATTTATGTGCATGTGAGCTATTTGCAATACCTCCACCAAACGGAGCCCATATGACCCGTCGGATGGCTTTCACCCAATCTTCCATTTCATTCTGGGAATTAGCCATGAGCAGAAAAGCCTCGTGATTGACAGGCATCTTTTCCCGGTCCCCAGAACCACCTGAAAAACAAAACACACACCTCAATTAGCATCTAGCTTATAAGTGACCACTGCTGACCTCAACAAACCCAGCCTACACAAGTATCCTTATGGGGTGGAGTTACATACCCTCTTTGGATTCACATACATGACAATGCAAAGCAGAACTCAATGGAGAGTAAGGGCCAGAGAGAAGCCATGCTATTCCTCAGGCTCACCAGCATGTAGTGCCAAAGTGAAAGCTACACTACCTTAAAGGACAAGGCACATGGCAAGCTTTGGAGATCTAGGCTGAGGTATGGAAGGGTTTGTCTCCACCCTCTTGAACCCTAGAAGTATTGTAGGAGAAAAAATGATTGGCTTCAAATGTTGCAAAAGAAAGGAAGCATGATGTAGGTATCTGGCTATGATTATCCCAGCGATACATACAGAGCACAAAATCTTTGTACATACAGGTTTATTCCCTTTAGCACTATAACACCGGCATGCAGTTTAGAAAGCTCCACTACAGTGGACACACACCAATAGCTTGAAGTTGCAGTAAACTAAGTTTGGTTGGGTATCAAGAAAAACTTCGTCACTGTTAGAACCTTGAGGCAGCTGGATAGACTGTCTAGGGAAGTTGTGGCCTCTCCACCACTGGACAGCCACTGATACATACAGTGCATATAAATCTCTCTCTCCATCATAATCTGGTGACCCAGGGCAAGATGCAATCTCATGGGGCCCAGCATGAAGAATCACACAATGGTTTTACTGGAGCAGCTTCTACCAAGAAGCTGAGGAGACTGTCTACCCAGTAGCTGCATCCCCATTGCCATATAATCTGCCTTTAACTTCACTGTGGATAATGTCTTCGTTGTTAGGTCTCCGCCATTTCCCCATTTGCTTTGTCTCTGGTCAAGCAATAACTGTTGCCTTGTGCTGAGCTACTGAGATTGCTTGTTCACTGAATTCAAAGATAAGAATAGGGACAATGGTATGTGGTTGTTTCTAAGGAACTGCCTTAATATAAACAGAATTTACACTTAGTAAATCCTTGTTAATCTCAGGAAGGGAGTGCAAAAGCCAAGGAAGTGCTTGTTCTTGCTTATTAATTGCTGCTTAGCTTAACCACATGCACAGACCAGGCATTGGTTTTCAAAAGGAAACATGAAGCAAGGCTCCTAGGGTTTTGCTATTCTCAAAAGATCAATTCATGTGAAATGAGAAGCCAGCGGGATCTTATCATGTAGAATAAAAGACCATATGGCTCCAGATACTGCCTAGGAAACAAAAGGCAGGGATCGTCTCCCTGTAGGCATCCTAATCCTTACCCTTCTCTCATGCCATCCTCCCAGCCAGCCTGAAGGGATGGATTTTCAGGTGATTTACATTCCAGTCAATATACAAAATAAGAAACTTATTGGAGGAGTACCCCAGACCCCAAGCCCAGACTCCAGCTCTTGTTTTTATTCCTCTCAATTTTGGAGGTGGTTGGATCTGAGCTTTCGGCATAAGCCCTAAAACAGCATGCCTACATAGGTCAGTTCTAGGCTCCCCACTCCCTCCCTGGATGTTTTTACCAGCAGGGTTTGGTAGCTGTGCTATCTCCCCAGTTAAGAGATCCACTTAAGAGGTCCACTCCTTCTGGACCATGAACTGAGTCCAAACAAAAACTAAATCTCCCATCCCAAGCTTGCCAGCATCACCCTTCCTCCCCAAGCATCTGTCTTCTGGTTCAGTACTGTCCATCTCCTGGGCCCAGCCTCAGCCCTACTAGGCCCTAGTAAGTCCCTTCATTTGCTCTTGATTCCTGAGGAGCAGGAACATAACCATTTGCCCCTTACTATTAAGGTTCACTACATCCCCTCACCCCTACCACTAGTAAAAGGGCCTGGAGGTTGCTGAGAATGGCTTGGTTTCCCTGAATGGGACCAGAGTCGTAGCAGGGCTGTTTGCTAGCAGTTTAAGGCCCTGTGGCAAGACAGCAGACACTTTCAAGAGGAAACCTCTTTTCCATGAAGTGTCTGGACTCAGTTGGCAGACACTTATGGAGCCTATCTTGTTTGGGCTAAAGTCTGACCAGCACAGCACTCCTTACTAAGTCATGCTGACATTGTCCCAGGACCAAGTCTTCCCCATCAAACTCTGCAGCAACCAAATGGTCTCATGTGAGGATCATCAAGAGCTCTCCAGGAAGCAACACAACAGATCATCCAGTTGCCTCCATAACCTCTTCTCCGATATTTAAAAGAGATTTTTTTCCAGAATCTAGTAGAATTATAAATAGGTGAAACCAAAGGAGGAGCTTCAGGGTGGGAAAAAAGAATCCTACATAGGCTGCAGACCCTGGGCCTGACATATGGCCAAAAATACATGTTTGTGCTTTCTGTGGTTGTCCTTCCGCTACTGGTACTTTAAATAGGAACAAGGTTGTGAACCTACAGCTGTTTGAGAGAGTGCCAAAAGTTGTTAGTCACATGTTTGGGCAGAATAAATACAACTGTATATACAGAACATCAATGTTGGAAAAAATAATGTGAAGCAGAAATGTTTGTTAGACAGAGATGCATATGCTCTCTCTGATGCACAGTGGCTGACCTACCTATGGGGGATTTTTCTGTCAAGATTTTTTGAACATGTTCCCTTGCTGCTTACTCACAGCTAGTTCCTTTCACTGCACTCAATTCTGCCTAGCAAGGGCCAGGTTCAGACCTGTCTTTTCATTTTGTTGCAACCATTGGCTTTTGTGAGATGTGGGATCTATGAGAAAAGAAACAGTAGCTGAATTCAAACTCAAGGATTTAATGATCCAAAAAGTTTGGAGAAGTACAGGTCCTTGCCTGATATTCATGATTGCAGCTTTTCCTGGGCCTCATCAAGAAACAGGATATAGTTCTGGGATTCAGACACCAGTGTGTAGCTCGAAAGCATCTGTATAATGGTACAAAACATGCTGGTCTTTGGGCAAACTTGGATTAGGATCTGGGTTTCAAATTTCTTCACTTGGGAAAGTTTGGATTTGAGGTTTGTGTTCTACTCATAGAGAGATGAAGGTTGGATGCAACCACATCTCTGTCTCTAAGGTTAGGAACAGATGTTGCATTTATCCCTGAACAAGTTGTGCCTGTTCCAATATTCTGGGGTCGATGTGTATACACATTGCCCTTCTAATAAAGTTTTAATGAGGGGTTGAATGCAGTCGCTTTTCTGCCATTGATTCAATGATGCAAGCGCAGGATAACTGTTCAGATGCATTTTGCAATGTCCTGTTAGTACTTTTCATCCTGTGAACTGTCAGTACACCTTATAAACTGTTAGTACTTCTTATCCTGTGAACTTTTTTAGGATTTATCCTGGGACAACGGACATGAATGCCTGAAAGACTGCACTTTGTCCTGAATAAAATGGAATTAATCCATTGCAAATACAAACTAATGCACAACTGCAACCACCAAATCATTAATTCAAATTTGTAGTCTAGTCTAAGGCTGTCCTACCGGTGGCCTGTGAGCTGCATGTGGACCCTAATGGGCTGAACTGCAGCCCCAGGCTCCCAATCCATCCTGCTGCCTCCAGGGCTCCTGCCAGTCTTTGGTCTTTCCCTCTCATCTTTGAAACTGGAGCTGCCAGCAAGTGATCTACACTGCTGCAGGGGGGTATGAATGCCCCTGCACATGCCCAATGGGACTAAAGGATCTTGTGGTTGGCAGGCTAAGGTCAACCTAGGGTCCTGGCACAGTGCAACTCAGAAACATTGGTACAGTGCAGTAGGGATGCCCACTATTCAGGATCGCAAGGAGAGGCCCATGCTATGTGCATGCAGCCTTTTCCACACATGGTCCAGGGGGCATGTGGCCTATGTGGCATGTAGTGGGGGCCTGCAGCCCTCAGCCATTTAAAAGTTAGACAGTCCTGGTCAGTCATTTTTACAGTCTAGCCCTGGGTCTAAAGGAGGCTTTAAAGGATGGAGTACAGCAACTACTTCTCACTGTACAGAATTAACAGTTCCCTAGCTGCAGGACACTGTGCTGGGGGAGAAATATCATTCAATATCTGTAAACACAGAAAGAGGCTTTCCATTCCTACCTGAACAGAACTCCTCACACATCCTTAATCAAGCATCTGTCCAAACAAGACTGGCCTCCCAAGATAATCTTAACCATCTCCACTTTGCCCTGATTTGCTGATGCAGGTATTCTGGCACTTCAGTCAAGAGACTCCCATATTTAAAAAGAAACCTGTTTACAAACACAGTCTTAGACTAGGCTGTGGTTGTGAAGCCTGACCTGCCCTGACCAGGATGGCGAAGAAAGATAAAGGACAGCTCACTGGTTAGAGCACTGCCCTTAGATTTTGGAGAATCATGTCCAATTCCTTGCTCCATCAGTGACTTCCCGTGTGACTCTGGACAAGTCACTTAGTCCCCCTCTGCCTCAATCATCCATTTGTAAAAGAGGAATAATAAATCTGCTCAGCCTCACAGGAGAAACATATTAGAGACTGGGTGTATCTACATGCATATATTAATGCAATTCAATACACTCTGGTGCTCATCACATCAGAGTTTATTGTTCCAGGTGTGTCATTTGCATGCATGCCTGGGATCATAGCATGCTGAGCCAGATCAGAACAGCCCCAGCTGGCAGGAGGCCTGGGGGAACAATCTGACAGCCTAGGGCTGCTCCCCATCGCTCAGTGTGCTGTGGAGGGGCTGGCTGGGGATGGCGGGCAGCCCCTGTACTGGAGTACCCTTGTACCCCACCAGCCAGGGCAGCATCGACACGTGCGTGAGTGGAAGGCAATTGGGAGCTGCATCCAGAGCCCCATGCGCTCAGGCAGGAGCTGCCCAACTGCAGCTTCCTCCCCACCTGGAGTGGCGCAGCAGGAAGAGAAGCAGGAGGATCCACCGCTGGAAGCGAGGGTTGTTGAGCAGCACCCAAGCAGCTACAGCCACACTGGGAGCAGCCCTGCTGGTAAACTGTGCACGCTGGCCAGGGCTGGGGCCAATTGGAACAGGCGGGACTCAGCTCCATGCA